ATGGCTTGAATTTATCTATCTATTCTCTAAATGTCTGTATTATAAACATTGGAAATCTGAACTATGCCAAGAATATTATTTATCAAAAATAACTGTAAAGAAATTCCGTGTAGCTTTATCCCGTTTCCGCTGCTCATCACACGACTTGTTTGTTGAAACTGGGCGTTACATGAATATTCCGCGTAACCATAGAATTTGCAGCCTCTGTAACGTTAATGCTGTAGAAGACGAATACCATTTTCTTTTTATCTGCCCCGCCTATGAAAACCTTAAAAAGAAATATTTAACATCCTACTATTATACCCATCCAAATGAAATAAAAATGACTCTATTATTGCCAAATGGAAATACTATTGAATTACAGAACCTGTCAATGTATATCTATTTTGAACTTATACATAGAAAATCGGCTTTAAATTTGTAATCTGTAAATATTTCACATGTGCTTTTCTGCTGGTCAGTTGTAAATATTGTGTATATAAATGTACTATAGGCCTGTGGCCTTTAAGTGCCGAATAAAGATTGATTGATACAAACTAGTTTGTTCTCAATGACATTGATGTATCACATAAATGATTAAATGTGATTTCATGCTGACATTATGAGCCATTACACAAATGAATAACCATGCATGGATGCAAGCAGCATCGTTGGTTTGCACAGCAGCTCCACATTTAACATACTGTTACAAGCATAGCCACAGGCCGTAAATATCTAGTTCCTTCCCCTTCTGCCATCACAACGCTGCCACCAATGTTAGATCCGAGAAGGAATAACAACTTCGTACACTTTCATGATCTACTTTGGGGTGATCGTCAGTATTTCACAAACACTTGAAGAACCAAGTCAGACTTGTCTTCAGCAACCATTGCTCTTCGAAGTAACGGGATCGGCTGGTTCGCTCTTTGTTTGATACATGTCATCGTATTCCCTCTGCATAAATCGCTTCTGATGTCAAAGAATGGATAGTCTGGTCTTATTTACAGACTGGAATCTTTGGACTGGCTGGCGTTTAACAACAATACTTAATAGATAGTGTATACTCAACCTTTCTTCATTGAAGAGGACACACAGCCGTAAAGAACTGACCCCTGAAGAAATGACCGCTGCGAACTGACCAATGAAGAACTGACCCTAAAGAAATGACCGCTGCGAACTGACCCCTGAAGAAATGACCGCTGCGAACTGACCCTCTGAAGAAATGAAACTGACACCTGAAGAAATGACCGCTGCGAACTGACCCTGAAGAACTGACCCCTGAAATGACCGCTGAACTGACCCTGAAGAAATGACCGCTGCGAACTGACCCCTGAAGAAATGACCGCTGAACTGACCCTGAAGAAATGACCGCTGCGAACTGACCCCTGAAGAAATGACCGCTGCGAACTGACCAATGAAGAACTGACCCCTGAAGAAATGACCGCTGCGAACTGTCCCTGAAGAAATGACCACTGAAGAACTGACCCTGAAGAAATGACCGCTGCGAACTGACCCCTGAAGAAATGACCGCTGCGAGAACCAACGAAGAACTGAAGAAATGACCGCTGCGAACTGACCCCTGAAGAAATGACCGCTGCGAACTGACCAACGAAGGATGACCCTGAAGAAAACTAACCCTGAAGAACTAACCCCGAAGATGACCGCTGCGAAACTGACCAATGAAAGAATGACCAATTAAGAAATGACCGCTGATAACTGAACAATGAAGAACTGACCCTTCAAGTTTTGATTCGTGAAGAACTGACCCAAGAAGTACATTAATCGCTAGGTCTTTACTTGTGAACTCCGGCACCGGGTACGTTACGTAAGCTGCAGCCGAGTACGAAGTAGATACTACGTGCAACATGGACGTCTATCTTGTACAGTTCTTTGTCTCGTCGTCACCCAAATCTGAGTGTATTTATTACACTTGGTGAGGAGGACTACATTGTACAACAGTACTTTGTCTGAATCTTTGACATCTTTTGTAGAAATTCCTTTATTCGTCCGCAAATGAACATCCTGAACGTCCTATTCAAACCAAGGTATATGTTTGGCATCACACCCAGCCCCATCACTGCATCTTTGTACTGAATTAACTTCTCCCCCGCACCACATCGGCTTCCTCGTTATAGCGCTATCTTTGTACATCTGTACATATTTATGTTTTCGCAAGTTTTATCTGATGAGTGAGTGAATAAGTATGGTTTTATGCCACAGTAATCAAGCAATATCACGACGGGGGACAATAGAAAAGGGTTTCACACCTTGTACCCATGTGGAGATTCGAACCCGGGTCTTCGGCGTGACGAACGTACGCTTTAACCACTGGGCTACCCCACCTCCCCTTCATCTCATGAAGAATTTGCCCTGAAACGTATCAATGCAGATTATACACTTTATATACATCATAGTTGTGTCATATTTGGATGTTCTTAGATCTTGTGAATGGCGTTCAAAGAGTTGTGCATTCGTTGGCCACACACAGCAATATTTTCATATAATCGGATCCGTGAAAATCCGAGTAAGAATTGTAAGAGGCGTAAACGGGATCGGGTGGTCAGGCTCGCCGACTTGGTTGACACATGTCATCGTATCCCAGTTGCTTAGATTGATGCTCATGATGTTGATAACTTCATTGTCTGGTCAGACTCGATTATTTACGGACCGCCGCCATATAGGTGGAATATTGCTGAGTGCAGCGAACAACAAACCAACCATGTATTCTGGTTAATGATCGAATCTGGTCCAGTTAAACGAGTGATTGATATTGTGAGCAACGACCCTCAACACTGGGGCACGATGACACGCCGTCATCCGAGTCTGACCAGCTGATCCATTTGGTCGCCTCTTACAGCCATCACATATTGCTGGATCAGGTCTTTGACACTAGGACCCACTGTCCAGCAACAATAATACACCAAGTCTTCCCATGTACGGGGTGTGCTTCAGAACTTTACACCCACCAAGGACACTATAAATCTTCCGCCAGTTCTTGATTGAAACTTTACAAGTCTTCAGAGAAATCTGGCTACAAATCGTGATGCCTAAAAACATACACGATTGATCGCAATCAAAGTTTTAATCTGATAAATTTCGAAGTCCTGCCTCTACTTTGGGAGGAATGAATCGATTTGCCGCCAGTCACCCTCCCGATTCTCCTTTTCCCCTTCATCCGGACACATATTTCAGACGACACCATAACAGGCACGTCTCCCTGAACAGAGAGAGTTCTTCATAAACTGGCAAACTCACAAGAATATAATCTCATCTTGTAACACCCCATTCACTCCCGTCTGTAGTCATGTTTGACCAACCATATACACAGTGTACACTCCTGTAGTCATCCAATGGGGGTAGATGAAGTCCTTCAGTGATATAAAGTTGATTAGTTGGACAAAATGGTTGATGAATATTTTGATGAATAGATGGTCCATGTTCACAAAGCGATATTGGACGCGACGTTAAGATTTCACGTCATGTGACCCCCTTAACTGATGACCAGACTGTTAACCACTAGTCTGTCTTAATAGAGAGTGAGTGAGTTGGGTTTTACATCGCATTTAGCAATATTCCAGCAATATAACGGCGGGGGGACACCAGAAATGGGGTTGACACATTGTACTCATACGGGGAATCGAACCCAGGTCTTCGGCGTGACGCTTTAACCACTAGGCTACCCCACGTCCCCACTTGGCAGGTCGGTGTGATCTCGAAAAACTTAATTCATTCACTAACAAATTCAATATGAAGACTACAGAAAGAATACCACACACATTTTAAACCGGCCAAAACCTCCGCACTGGATACCATGTCAAGATTGCTAAACAAATAAAATATCAGCACTCAAAAACGATCTAACTTAGAACCCGTGTCACTGATTCATCTTGCTTTGCAAACCCCGGTGTAATTCCAGTGCCATATTGATTTAAACCTGTTTATGTAATAACTAAGCATGGCTTGTCACTGAATCCAGCGATCAATTTTACCTGGATTCCCTCCCAGAGTCCAAACATCGCGAGATCATGTGGGTACTGCACGAGATGTTCTCGTTACTAAATGTACCGTGCATTTAACTGCCCCGTGCATGGCGGGATTCGGAAATACTCGGCTTTTGTCGGCAGTGATGATATATAAGCGATGACGCCTAAGAAGATTGTGTTATACACTGTTTTCTGTTCCGATGTTTAGAATTCAAAGTGTCATCCGATACAGGGGTCATTGTATAGGGGCAATGGCTGTTTCAAGGTCAGTTGAGCAGCTTCTGTGAAAATTATGAAACCTCGCCGTCCACAATTATGAAAGCTTCTTTAGCACGATCATGAAAACACATTTACCAAAACATATTGTGGTATCTGCAGATCCAGGAAAAGCGTAGGGGCGGTGGGGTAGCCTAGTGGTTAAAGCGTTGGCTCGTCACGCCGAAGACCCGGGTTCGAATCCCCACAAGGGTACAATGTGTGAAGCCCATTTCTGGTGTTCCCCGCCGTGATGTTGCTGGAATATTGCTAAAAGCGGCGTAAAACCAAACTCAGTCAGTCAGTCAGTCCAGGAAAGCGTAACCTCGCCTTCAGTCTGTCGATAGCTACAACCTTGCAGTCTCATTGTTACCGCTGCACGCATGTAATAAAACAGCGTCGGCCATATTGTAACTAGATATTATCTATTTGTTATCCACTTGACCGACCTGTTTTCTAGCATAATGACAAATAGCTGTAAATCCCTTTCACAAAACTGGTATAAAGAGTTAGCCTTTATCCTTCACGTTTACGCAATCGGAACATTCTCAATGGATGCCTCGGACTGTCATTTTGTATGCGCATGCGCACAATTTCAGGGCACAGTGTCGTACTACATAGGTTGTATTCAACATGCAATTATATTTATTCTTTAGGGCATATTGGTTATCCAAGACTCTGAATAGAAAATAATTGTGAAACCTACTTCAATTGTTTCTCATATACATTAACTTCACCCAGTGAGCTCTTCATTTTATGCGGATGTCGATTTTAGCCGCCGAGTAGTTTTATTCATATACATTATCCTTAAAATCATGAACACACATAATGATTGCTTTTCATCCCGCAGAAATCAATTTAACGTGGAGAAGGAATACATGTCACGATTCCGCCAGAGAGACGGGATTGATTCTGGTAGTAATGGCGCTGTCTCTATGTGCGTGGATGCATGTTCACCACCAAGGTCGCAGACACTTCACTAAGGCCGCATGTCGTCAAGGCCTCATGGCCTTCACCAAGGCCCCATACACTTTAACAAGGCCGCATGTCCTTCACCAAGGCCTCATGCAGTACACCAGGGCCCTTTTTCTCGAAACGTTCGTAGCCCTAAAAATGATTAACTTTGATCGTAGCCTATGTGATAAGAATGGGTTTAAGAAGTTCGTAGCTAGTTAGTTCACCAAGACCTCATGCACTTCATTAAGGCCACATGCACTTCACCAAGGCTGCATGTACTTCACCAAGGCCACATGTACTTCACCAAGGTCACATGCACTTCACCAATGCTTCATGCACTCTACGAAGCCTTCATGCACTCCACCAAGGCCACATGTACTTCACCAAGGCCCCATGTACTCCACGAAGGCCACATGTACTTCACCAAGGCCTCATGTACTTCACCAAGGCCTCATGCACTTCACCAAGGCAGCATGTACTTCACCAAGGCTTAATGCACTCCAACAAGGCCACATGCACTTCACCAAGACCTCATGCACTTCATCGGGGTCGGATGTACTTAACCGAGGTCGTTTATACTCCATTTGTCGACTCAGTATGACATGGGGATTTCAACGATTTAAGCTTCCCTGAATACATAAATTCCCACAATCGGAACATAAATTCCCAGCACACGAACTTCCTGATTTATCAGGTGTCAATGGACCCCACTTAATCCGCGACCTTTAACCGGTGTAAACAAGTTATGGAAACAGCTGATAATCGGGACGAATAGTATGCAATATTTAAGTAATATAAGATAATCAGTGACATTATACTGCTATTTATCAGGAGACGGAAGAAGAACAAACAGCTTCACGAAATAAAATGTATATGTAGCATCAAAAGTTTCTTTTGAAAAGTACAAAAGTGTGGTAACATGTCTCTCTCTGAATCGGACCGCCTCCGTGGTGAAGTGGTTAAAGCGTCCGCCCGGAGAGCGGAAGGTCGCGGGTTCGATCCCCGACTGCGTCATACCAAAAAGACGTTAAAATATGGTACTTGTTGGTCCCTGCCTGGTGCTCGGCATTAATGGGTACAACAAGGGCTGGTCGGCTCGGAGTCAGTATAATGTGTCTGAGTGGGTTATTCATGCTTCACTGCGGCATGGTATCTCAGTGGGCTAGCACTATAAAACCAGCTTAAGTCTGGGCTAGTTCAAGCAGCCGCACATACACATACACACGCATGCACGTCGTCATATGAGCGAAATATTCTCAAGCACGACGTAAAACCCAATTTTACCTCACCTCACCTCTCTCTGAATCAGCATCACGTTGGATTAGAATGCGCTGAAGACACAACCATCACACGTTAAACTGGTTTCACGTTGGAACTGAAAACGCTGTAGATTCAACTATCTCTCGTTCAGCTGATACCACCTTGGATTAAAATACGCTGTAGATATGACAATGTCTCCTTAAACTGATACCACTTTGGTTTAAAATACGCCGTAGATACAACAATCCTACTTCCTTAAAGGCCTCATGCGTCACCAAGGCCCTCATGTTCTTCACCAAGGCCTCATGGCCTCATGTACTTCACCAAGGCCACATGTACTTCATCAAGACCTCATGCACGTCACCAAGGCCTCATGTACTTCACCAAGGCCTCATGTAGCCGAGCTTCACCAAGGCCACATGCACTTCACCAAGGCCACATGCACTTCACCAAGCTCATGCACGTCAGGCCTCATATTCACCAAGGCCTCATGTACACCAAGGCCTCATGTACTTCACCAAGGCTTCATGCACTCCACCAAGGCCACATGTACTTCACCGACCTCATGTACTTCACCAAGGCCTCATGCACTTCATCGAGGTCGCTTATACTCCATTTGTCGACTCAGTATGACATGGGATTTCAACGATTTTAGCTTCCCTGAATACATAAATTCCCTTTGCATTAGAACTTCCTGATTTATAAAGTGTCAATAGACCCGACTTAATCCGCGACCTTTAACCGGTGTAAACAAGTTATGGAAACAGCTGATTATCGGCAACAATAGTATGCAATATTTAAGTAATATGATAATCAGTGACATTATGCTATTTATCAGGAGACGGAAGAAGAACGCTTCACGTAAAATGTATATGAGCATCGAAAGTTTCTTTTGAAAAGTACAAAAGTGTGGTAACATGTCACTCTTGGATCAGCATCACGTTGGATTAGAATGCGCTGAAGACACAACCATCACACGTTAAACTGGTTTCACGTTGGAACTGAAAACGCTGTAGATTCAACTATCTCTCGTTCAGCTGATACCACCTTGGATTAAAATACGCTGTAGATATGACAATGTCTCCTTAAACTGATACCACTTTGGATTAGAATACGCTGTAGATATGACAATGTCTCCTTAAACTGATATCACTTTGGATTAGAATACGCTGTAGATATGACAATGTCTCGCTAAACTGATATCACTTTGGATTAGAATACGCTGTAGATATGACAATGTCTCGCTAAACTGATATCACTTTGGATTAGAATACGCTGTAGATATGACAATGTCTCCTTAAACTGATACCACTTTGGATTAGAATACGCTGTAGATACAACAATCTCTTGTTTCACTGATATCATGTTGAATTAGAATACGCTGTATATATGACAATGTCTGGTTAAACTGATAACACTTATGATCAGTGTGCGGAATAGCCACTGGCCCGCTATCCCCTGGCTAGTAAAAATCAAGTCGGGCCAGTAAATCTCCAGTCACTGGCCCGACTGGCTGGAGAATTTACATGGGGTCTTTTTGTAAATATATCACTTTCTCCGACTTGTTAAGTTATAACTCACTCTTAAATCATGCAAGATTATGGCCTGGTAAAAATGTTCATCATATTAGCAGCTTAATGATGAAACCCGTGTCTACATTCAAATTTCGGACTTGTGAATTATTTTGTGGGCTAGTAAGTTTCAAGCATAGCTAGCCCGACTGGCTAGCAACATTTGGAAACTATTTCGCACACTGCTTTGGATTAGAATACGCTGCAGATAAAACCATTTCTCGTTCAGCTGATATCACGTCGGATTAGAATATGCAGTAGATATCAGCGTCCCTAATTATACTGTTATTACGTCGGATTAGTAATGGGGAACAGCTGCGTTTATGACCTTTGCAATAGTATTCGGCTTGTGTTTTCAGACATCTTAACATGTTGATGACCTCTGTTATCATCTTAACATCTCTCGTTGATGACCTCTGTTATCATTGTGGTTCGAAATCTTTTACCCGACAGTTTTAATACAACCATCTCTCGAATCTGGCATGACTGACTGCTTTTAGCAATATTCCAGCAACATCACGGCAGGGGACACCAGAAATGGGCTTCACTCATTGTACCCATGTGGGGATTCGAACCCGGGTCTTCGGCGTTACGAGCCAACGCTTTAACCACTAGACTACCCCACCGCCCCGAATCTGGCATGAAGTTGGATGGAGGACGAAATAGATATTACCCTCTATCTAAACCAGCATCAATTTGGGTGAGAATGAACGTACGAACGACTCTCTAAATCATCGAAAACGGTCGGGGTTATTGGGAAAGGCAACATGAAGGTTCAGATGAGTACTTGATTGTTGTTTTACGCCGCACTCAGTAGTATTCCAGCTATATGGCGGCGGTCTGAAAATAATCGAGTCTGGACCAGACAATCCAGTGATTAACAGATAACTTGTTGTAATAAGAGTGAGTGAGTAAGTGAAAATGATGTTTAACCGCTTTTAGCAATATTCCAGCAATATCACGGCGGGGGACACCAGAAATGGGCTTCACACATTATTCCCATGTGGGGAATCGAACCTGGGTCTTCGGCGTGACGAGCGAACGCTTAATCATTAGGCTACCTCACCGCCCCTTGTAATAAGATTTAGCTCGTACATATTGAGAAAATTATGTAAAAAGTAGGTTGTTAAGTAATGAACAATTTTCAGCTTTCAAATTCTGAACATTTTACCTGTTCCAGGTAAAATTAGTACTTTCCTATTAAATTAGACTAAAATGTATGTCTATAGAACCGGGCCCATGTTAACACATGACACGTCACAACTGACCTTTGAACCTTCAACCTACTCGATCAGAAAGGTCAGCACAACACAACATCACGAACTGCAAACACTGTTTCCGGTGTAATATATTAATTCCTTAGAAAGCCAAGACACTGCTATTACTCCCAGATTCTGAATAAAACATATGCATTAATCATACCCTTGAAGCGCGGCTTATTGATCTTTTAGAGCGCTGCCATGTGACTCATCAACCCACCTACATGTCGGTGAGGCATCTTGGCACTATCTGGTACTTGTACAAGGCCAGGCGGAATAGACTCGGTTGATCGAGGACCAGTTGTCGGGAACTGATACAACACTTACCTTGGACAGACGGGAGGTCCTCGGGTGATCGAGGACCAGCTGTCGGTAATAGCTGAACTTACCATGGCCAGACAGAATGTCCTCATGTGATCGAGAACCAGTTGTCGGGAATTGATACAACACTTACCTTGGACAGACGGGAGGTCCTCAGGTGATCGAGGACCAGCTGTCGGTAATAGCAGAATTTACCATGGCCAGACGGGATGTCCTCATGTGATCGAGGACCAGCTGTCGGGAATTGTTGCAACACTTACCATGGACAGACGGGAGGTCCTCATGTGATCGAGGACCAGCTGTCGGTAATCGCTGAACTTACCATGGCCAGACAGGATGTCCTCATGTGATCGAGGACCAGCTGTCGGGAATTGATACAACACTTACCTTGGACAGACGGGATGTCCTCGGGTGATCGAGGACCAGTTGTCGGTAATAGCTGAACTTACCACGGCCAGACGGGATGTCCTAAGGTGATCGAGGACCAGCTGTCGGTAATAGCTGAACTCACCATGGCCAGACAGGATGTCCTCATGTGATCGAGGACCAGCTGTCGGTAATAGATACAACACTTACCACGGCCAGACAGGATGTCCTCAGGTGATCGAGGACCAGCTGTCGGTAATAGCTGAACTTACCATGGCCAGAAGAGAAGTTCTCGGGTGGTCCAGAATCAGCCAGATCTTGGTCTGCCAATACTTCCATCCTGACAATAGATCCAGGTCGACAGTGAAGCTTTCCTTCTGGAGCGAGGTGTCAAACGAATCAAGGATCCTCTGGTTCTCTATGTAGGAGCGGTAATGGCGCCAACAGCAGGCTTTGATTTCATGTTCGTTCATCTGCCAGAAGTCCAGCTCGCGCTTCACCACAGCTCCACACACCTCCAGGGGCACGTGCAGCTCACCTGTCAAAAAGGATTCGAAAAATGAATGCAACACAAAGCAGGGTAGACATGTTTACAATTTTTGTAAACATTACTTTATGGGTGAGTGAGTTTAGTTTTACGCCACGTTTAGCAATATTCCAGCAATATCACGGCGTGGGACACCAGAAATTGGCCTCACACATTATACCCATGTGGGCATCGAACCCTGGTCTTTGGCGTGAGGAGCGAACGCTTTAACCACTAGGCTACCCCACCGCCCCTACTTTATGGACCTGAGTGCCATAAGACATATCTCTTAGACAGAACCCAGTCTGATTTAGAACTACTGCTTCTGGTAAGGACATTCCTGAGGGGATTCCGATACAGGACTGGTTCCCAATAATCTATTTCTGGCGTAAGAGGCCACTATACATTTTTCATGATTCCCACATGCTACATATACATTGTGAATTGTTACAGACTTGTAGGCTTTAGCTGTAACTTGTACATCGTTTCTTATTTGCACGTGTTGAACGTAAATTGTGCATTATTGTTTTATTAGTACACTGTGCATCGGTCTTGATTTGTTAGTTTGTAAATTTGCTTATTGCCACTCCTCTATGACAGCAGTAATAAATAATCGCGTCTAGACCAGACAATCTGGTGACTGGCATCATGAACATAGACCTTTTGGGATACAATGACAGGATGAATCAACAAAATTAGCGAGTCTGACGACACTATGCCGTCAATCGCCTCTTACTACAAGACTGACTGACTGACTGAGTTTGGTTTTACGCCGCTTTTACCAATATTCCAGCAACATCACGGCGGGGGACACCAGAAATGGCTTAACACATTGTACCCATGCGTGGATTCGAACCCGGGTATTCGGCGTGACGAGCGAACGCTTTAACCACTAAGCTACCCCACCGCCCCTCTTACTACAAGAATAGTCGTCTCTTACATGCACGTGTTGCTAGACCTTTTCTCTGCTGTTGACCAATTCTAGCGGGTTTTACTCGGTTTCGTTGCATTTTGCATAGTAACGGACGGTGTAATATAATTCCAGGTCATGAAGGACCCATTTGATCTGTAATACCGATGCTGTCGAGAACAAAAACCATTTTGTATTGACGTGTTCTAAATTCAGTGGTTTACGAGAAAGATATCTACCAAACACACGCTGTTCATGTTTCAACACTTTTTCAATTTGATACTTATATGTCTCCTTCGCATGTAAAGGTAATAAAATAACATGCAGTATGCATTTATCATGTCAATAACCTTATGTTATAACCCAGCTGTGTTTTTATTTACTATAACCACGTTTTACTGTGTATTTTCAGTCCGCGAAAATAAACAATAAAATTAACAATATTCTGTTATTTTACTCACCAGTTTCATAAACACGTCGACTTAAACAGGAAAATAAAAGAACCCTATGCTTTAATCTGTGTATGCCTATTGTATCACTTGAGTTCTTTGGAAGCTACATATTTCACGTATTATCTTTCATCAGATGCTAAGTCTATTACATATCCGGAACTGCCTTCATTGTAATACAACTCGACTTTCCCTTAAAGAAGTTCGGTTTACAAGCCCAATAACGGCTAATGTAGCGAACATGAGGAGAAGAAGACTTAATAAGGAAGACATTAAAAGCCAGAAGGAAATTCAAATATCAATCATTCTCCAATGACGATACTTAAACAGCGCCATTTCTTCCTTTGTGCTATTAAACGTTGAAAGCTTGGTATTGCAAACTGTGTGATGAAGACGGAAGGGTTGTAACAGAATTAGCAGGACTACTGATGTTGACTCTCTGTGAAGTCAGATTGTTACAGGGGAATGGCGTCATCTCAGGGATCACATGACGTCATATCCATATAGCATCCTTTTGTATGCCCCCAACGGTCGTAAACCGTAACAATATAACTCCATAGGAACCCGAATGATATATTACGTGGTATATAATTGATGTCCTTTATTGCATTTCAGTTTGACTGACGGGGGATTGTTAAAACACAAATACTACTGTGACTGGTTGTTGGTTTGTTGTTTAATGCCACACTCAGCAATATTCCAGCTACATGGCGGCGGTCTGTAAATAATCGACTCTGGACCAGACAATCCGGTGATCAATAGCATGAGCATCGGTCTACACAGCTGGGATACGATGACATGTGTCTATCAACTCAGCGAGGCTCACCACCCGATCCCGTTAGTCGCCTTTTACACCCGTGAGTCCAGGACGACAGCAGGGTATGCCAAGGTATTTGGCTTTGCCGGGTACCAACTTCATTAAACTGAGTAAATTGTATGACTGACTTCTCATATCATGATAGACTAAAGACATGCCCGTATTTGTTAGGAAGCGACTGATTGACAGGTGGTCAGTACTATGACTGTGAGTGTTGTTTGGCACTGCAATTAGTACATCCACAGTACATCAAAGTTCAATACACTCAGTGTGGTCCGTACGCCTAAACCTCAGTACACTGTAGCTGGTCTGTACGTCTAAAACCTCAGTACACTGAAGGTGGTCTGTACGCCTAAAACCTCAGTACACTGAAGCTGGTGTGTACGCCTAAAATCTCAGTACACTGAAAGTGGTCTGTACGCCTAAAACCTTAGTACACTGAAGGTGGTCCGTACGCCTAAAACCTCAGTACACTGAAGGTGTCTGTACGCCTAAAACCTCAGTACATTGAAGGTGTCTGTACGCCTAAAACCTCAGTACACTGAAGCTGGTCTGTACGCCTAAAACCTCAGTACACTGAAGGTGTCTGTACGCCTAAAACCTCAGTACACTGAAGGTGTCTGTACGCCTAAAACCTCAGTACACTGAAGCTTGTCTGTACGCCTAAAACCTCAGTACACTGAAGGTGTCTGTACGCCTAAAACCTCAGTACACTGAAGGTGGTCTGTACGCCTAAAACCTCAGTACACTGAAGCTAGTCTGTACGCCTTAAACCTCAGTACACTGAAGCTGGTGTGTACGCCTAAAACCTCAGTACACTGAAGGTGTCTGTACGCCTAAAACCTCAGTACACTGAAGCTGGTCTGTACGCCTAAAACCTCAGTACACTGAAGCTGGTCTGTACGCCTAAAACCTCAGTACACTGAAGGTGTCTGTACGCCTAAAACCTCAGTACACTGAAGCTGGTCTGTACGCCTAAAACCTCAGTACACTGAAGGTGTCTGTACGCCTAAAACCTCAATACACTGAAGGTGTCTGTACGCCTAAAACCTCAATACACTGAAGGTGTCTGTACGCCTAAAACCCTAGTACACTGAAGGTGGTCTGTACGCCAAAAACCTCAGTACACTGAAGGTGTCTGTACGGCTAAAACCCCAGTACACTGAAGGTGTCTGTACGCCTAAAACCCCAGTACACTGAAGGTGTCCGTACGCCTACAACCTCAGTACACTGAAGCTGGTCTGCAGGCCAGGATCTCAGTATAATCCATTAGGTCTGGAACTTTTAACCAGTTCATTTACTTCCCCGACATACACATGCTATATCCCCGATGAAAGTCAGAGAAGCAAAGGCCATGTTTTTATGACGCATCTCTGTTCTACTCGCCATACGCCCATGAGGAATCCAATCTTGTACAACGTGCGCTGTAATCGATTCTCATCAAACATGTTTTCTTTTGGTCTCCTCAAAGAATTATTTTTGCTTATCTCCCAAATGTACCCGTCTTTGAGGATACTGGTTTTTATGATTCTCAGTGATTTCAGGGCTACGTAACTATATGCGCCCATTACATGTGCACCAACAGCAAGGCAGGGTTTGATGGCAGTGACATTATATCGTCCCCAGTGTCATGGACATGCGGATTTCAGAGTCTGCTATCGACTGAAGGGAACCAGTGGAGGTAAATATCATTTCCTCTCCTAAAGTAATACTTCAACTCATATTAAGAGGTGAGGTGAGGTGAAATTGGGTTTTACGTCGTACTTGAGAATATTTCGCTCATATGACGACGTGCATACGTGTGCATGTGTATGTGCGGCTGCTTGTACTAGCCCAGAGTAAGGCTGGTTTTATTAGGGCTGCGCAATATAACCGGTTTACCGGTATTTACCGGTTCAGACATGAAAACGATAAATAATTGCTAAACGCTGATCGAAAACCGGTATTTTGACATGCATTCAGAAAACGTCGTAACACTCGGAAATATTCGGATATTTCCTTGTTTCATGTGAGCAAAATATTATTCACATTTTTATTTTATCATGATTAAAATTTGTTATTAAAGCTTACTCAAGCATAGTGATTTTGTTGGTTTTTGCTCTATAAACCAAGCAGAAACTCGATTATAAGTAGTTGTTTGTTTAAAAATACTTCATGCACTATATTGCAATACATATCGCAATACATGCTTTTGCATCGCAATATATCGCAATATGAATATTTTCTGCAATACCCACCCCTAGGTTTTATAGTGCTAGCCCACTGAGACACATTATACTGACTCCGAGCCGAACAGTCCTTGTTGTACCCATTGGTGCCAGGCAGGGACCAACACGTACCATATTTTAACGTCTTTTGGTATGCCGCGGTCGGGGATCGAACCCACGACCTTCCGCTCTCCGGGCGGATCATATTCAGTTATAGGTGTATCAAGTCAATAGAAACCTGAAGAACCTGGTTAGAATTGATCTTCAGTAACCCATGCTTGTCGTAAAAGGCGACTAATGGGATCGGGTGACTTGGTTGACACATATCATCGTATTCCAATTGTGCAGATTGATGTTCATGTTGTTGATCACTGGATTGTCTGGTCTAGACTCGATTATTAACAGACCGCCGCCATATTGCTGGAATATTGCTGAGTGCGGCGTAAAACAACACATTATTTTTCAGCCCAGTCCTACTCCGAATGATTTGAAATCCCAGAAAACTCAAGCCATCACCTTGCCATCACTTCATCGGAGATTTTACATGTGTCCATACTGTCTACAAGACTCATCCTACAAGACGTATCCTACAAGACTCATCCTACAAGACTCATCCTACAAGACGTATC